CCACCCCTCCACACACATCCCCCTCACCCCCGCACACCATGCAGTGCCATTTTTGGTGACAGGAGACCGGTCTCAACTGGTGGGACCAGATCATCATGGAGCGGTGGGATGACCAGCGGTATGTAACACTTTATTTTTATATGTCCCAACTGATAAGGCTTCCTCCATTCCCGCCATTCCCCCACAGAAGCATTTCACCATCCCTATTTGGAAGCTCACTATGCCAGGCAGCTACTGCTCGGTCAGGAACCAGTTCGGTGTGGGGGAATCGACCACCAGTACTGTGCTCATACAGGTATAACTCTCTTGCTATTGTCCCAGCAGGGTGGAGAAGCACTGCAATGGGTTCCCTAGGAAAGTGGGGAGGGTGGAATCTCCCTTCCTGGAGGTTTTTTCAGTCCCAGCCTCACAGAGTCCTGCCAGAGATGGGGTACTTGGAGTTGTTCCTGTTGTGCGAAGGGGCTTGGGCTCGGGGAATTCCTGAGGGCTCTGGCAACCCTGTGATTCTATGCGTCTATCATTCTACAGGTGGTGAGGGCCATCAATGCCATCCTGCTGCACAGGCTTGTCACCCTGGGCGACGTGAACCCCATCGTCGCTGGTTTACCACCATGGGCTTCCCCAGCTGCGGGGGCGGGGGCGTTGATGGCACCCATATCCCCATCTGGGTCCCCAACCGCCATGCCTCCAATTACATCAATCGAAAGGGGGCACTTCTCAGTGATCCTGAAGGCCCTTGTGAACCACAGGGGCTGGTTCACCGACACCAACGTTGGTTGGTCAGGGAAGGAACACAATGCCCACATTTTGAGGAACTCCAGCCTCTTCCAGAGGATGAATGCTGGCATCTTTTTCCCCTACTGCACCATCAGAGTCGAGGAGGTGGACATACCCGTGTGCATCGTGGGCGACACAGCCTACCCCTTGATCCCCTGGTTCATGAAGCCCTACATCAAAGGGAGGTTCCAGTGTCTCCTAATCCACCTTGATCTTGGTGACCAGAATATCCCCCAGGTGGTGGTGGCCTGCTGTGTCCTCCACAGCCTTTGCAAAAATATGGGGGAGACTTTTTTGCCAGGATGGGGCACAGAGGCCCAGCTTTTGAGCAGCCATGCAAGCCCATCAGGTTGATGAGCACTTCCAGGAGTCCCTGAGTGAAGAGTTTCAGACCAGGCCTCTCCCCTCAGGCCTCTCCACAAGGGGGCTCTGCATAGACCCTGTGTGCCTTTCCCACTTCCCAATTCCCCTTCCTTGCAGACCAAATAAACCAGACTTCTGGTCTGAAACAATAAACTCTCTGATTTTTGTTTAGTTGTGGTCACCTCTGCCAGCAGAGCTCATAGAGTTGGGAGGATGGTGCAGGAGGCGTTGCGTGCAAAGCAAGAAGGCTAGTTTATCCCTGGAGACAATATGCATGAAACCTAGTCTTAATGTGTGAGCCGACACCAAAAGGTTTCAGTTTGATGATGGTGAATTGCTTCAAGGAAAGGCCATCTGGGGCCCAGGCAGTAGGCAATAACCTGCAGGGACATGGACATCCCGAGGGAACCTTGCTACCCCCGCACCCAGGGCCTAGCAGGCATAGGAAGGTGCTGGCCAGGGCAGGAGACTGCAGGTGGGAGGGAAGTGGTGGGACAGCTCAGCTTCCCTCCGTGCCCCACACATGCCAGGTCTGACCGTGGCAGCATTCCACAGAGAAAGAAATTTCATCCCTGCCCACTGGGGAGAGGGGGGACAGTGTTGGGGGAGGTTGTGTGAGCGGCAGATACTGCTTGCCAGGAAGAGTGGTACTGGGGTCTTCTCCACTTCCTCCCGCTGGCAGGTTCCCCTGCAGGGGATCAGCGTCCTCTGTCTTGCCACACTTAACTGGGAGTGGATACTGACCCAAGAGTGCAGGCGTGAGTCTCTGCTGTGTGTGGCATTGCTGTGTGTTTTCCTGACCCCAGTCTCCTTACTTGTGGCTTGTCATGTGAAGGTGTCCCACCACGGAGTCGGGAGTAAGGCAGGCCTGTGCAGGAACCTTGTGCGAAGGACCGACTGGTTCCTGTGTAGCAGCTTCATGGGGCTGTCTGCTCTAGAATGGTGCTCCATGTGTACCCACATGCACAGGCTACTGTGTGATTCCCAGGCTGAACAAGAAGCGTGCAGCCCCTTGCAGCCCACTGCCTGCTCCTGTGTGTAGATAGTGAAAGACTGAGAACTCGCCTGATGGTCCTTCCCTTGCCTCATTCAAGGCCTGGGAAACATCCTGGGAGGTGGGTACCGGCTCCAGGGTGATGACTACCTCCTGGTTGGTGGGCATGCTGTCATTTCTGGCCTCCTCATCCTCCTCCACAGCCCCTCCCTCCTGGAAGCTGACGACAGGTATGTCCAGGCTGGAGACTACAACGTTGGGCAAGGAAGCAACCTGCCTCCCTCTCGGGATGCCATCTAGCTGGGGCATAAAAAGTGGCAGGGCTGGGGTGCTGCTCTCAATCGGGAACTTCTCTCCCTGGCCTTGGTGTAGGCCTGCTGGAGCTCCTTGATATTGATTTGGACCTGGTCCAGAATGCAGCTGTGACCCCTCTGGACCAGGCTGGCAACCATCCGGCCTTAGACATCAGCATTTTGCCATCTGGTGCGGAGATCTTGGAGGTTTGATTGATCCCTCAAGACCTCTATGAAATCCTGGCTCTCCACATCAGTCGACGAGGGGTGCCCTCTTCTTCTGCTCCTGGCCAGGGGCTTCAGAGCTGGCTGCCAGTGTGCTTGCAACTGTGGGGGGCTTGGTGGGAGTGCTAGAGTCTGCCATGACAGCAGGGAAGGCTGGACAGGGTGCTGGTGTGTAGCACAGTGTGAGCAAGGTCTGCATCATGCCACAAGCACTTTCCCTTTTGCCTGCAGCTTTAAAGATTGTAGGGGAAGGGAAGTTGTAGAGTTTTGAGGGGTGTGGACAGACCGGCCACCTGGGCAGCTGTGAGAAGCCCTGGAGGCCAATTATTTTGAAATAATCACAGCTTCACTGTCCACACTCACCCTATTTTGAAATAGCAATTTCAAAATAGGCATTATTCCTCATGAAATGGGGGTTTATTATTTCGAAATAAGAAGCCTGTTATTTAAAAAAAAACTTCGAAGTAATAGGCTTGCTGTGTGGACGCTCACCTTGTTATTTTGAAATAACACGTGTTATTTCAAAATAACTCTATAGTGTAGACATCCCCTGAAAGTATATGTGGGGTGGTTGTTAACAGGATTGTGCAAATATGAAAACAAGTTCAGTATTTACATTATCCCTAATAGAATCCAGCCTGCTTTCTTAGCCCTGCACAGCCAACACGGCTATTTCATCACTAAAGTGAGATTATATAACTGAATAAACAGGAGTCTGATGTTTTTTTATTGTACACCAGCATAGCTCCCTGGAAAGGAAAGGATTACCCAAAATAAAATGAGGTCAAGGATCTGTGGAATACAAAGGTGCAATTTTTTATGTAGTCATTTTTCAGTCTTCAGTCTTGATTATACTCTTCATTGCATTGAATATCAAAGGGTAAAACTGTGGCTCAGTTGAAGTCCTTGCCAATTGTATTGTTTAAATCAGTGGAACTCAGAGTTCATCCTAGATCTTTACTTAGGAAATCAATGTGTGCTGTGTGGAAACTTTGGTAGCTAATTTATGAGGCTTGTGAAGGCTAGTTGGGGAGTTTTAGATTAAATTTATCTTTTTTATTTCCCAGAAGAGCATCTGCAGAAACGTGATTCATACTTCAGTGAGTTAGACGGTCCTGTAGTCCTAGCACCTCCTCTTCTGAGATATTCTGAGTCTGCAGAAGCTAGTGGAATCTGTAGAGTGAAGCCATCTGTCATGGAAATCTCAGAAAAGGAAGAAAATGTGCAATGTGCTAGTCTGGAGAAGCATTTGGAAGACATAGACAATTCAAGATCTTTCTCTTCTTCAGACATGGAATCAGGAGATGAAAGTGAATGGTCCGAGGAGTTTGCTGCCCCTGGTTCCAGTCCTCCTGCTACTGCTTCACGACCAAGGGACCCACTTGGCATTCTCACCAAAGTCTTTCCTAGTCATAAACGAAGCAAGCTGGAGAGAATTCTGCAGTTTTGCAAAGGAGATGTCATCCAAGCCATTGAACAAATCTTGAATAGGAAAGAGAATAAACAGGATGTCCAAGACTTTGCAAGTCCATCAAGAGCTAGACATAGTGACTTACAGAGAGCCTCTAACAACTGTAGCTTCCCAGAATTAGGAGCTAGAGTGTTTGGCAACAAATCAGCTTTCTTCCCTCTTCACACCACTTTTACTTCATTTGGAGGTGAAACAAATATTTATGGCCTAAACCCTAGACTGGGGATTAGCCCTGTAAAACTGGCTTATTCTACCCCTGGAAGAGGTCTGCCTGGATTTATGTCACCCTACTTAACTCCTGGATTGATTCCAGCTTTGCCTTTTTGCCCAGCATTGGACTACTCTTTTTCAGGAGTGATCAAGGAAGCTTCTTACTTTCAGCATAAAGAATCAGTCACTGGCAGTGGAATTTACTCAAGTCTAAATAAAAAAAGCCAGTAGTGCAATTAGCATCTTCCCTTTCACATTGTACTTCCAAAATGTGCAGCTATGATGACATCTGAATCTAGCCTCAAAAGATGCTTTAATACCACAGTCAATTTCCACTTCCACTTCCTTTAAGAATTAGACTTCTCACATCTTTAGAACGTAATTTTGTTTTATTTTAATGTAAAGTGGCTTGCAAAACTGAAATTTTCAAGCAAAAAAAGGAACACAGTTTTAAAGTATGTATTTTTCCATTCAGAGTAACTGCTGAGAAGAGTTGGTTTTAAAATCAGTGCTAATTTTTAAACAGATTTTATTATACATACATTTTATTTTAAATGGTCTTCAGATTGGGTTGTAAATGTAACAGTAACTAGGATATATTTGTTTTGTGAACAGGAATAGAATTGAGTTATGAAGAAAGTCCATTATAATATTCCTCTCCCTTTTTAAAAATAATCAACTTTGCATACTTATTTTTTTCATCAGTTTCTTGGGAAACTAAAGCCAAGATTTTAAAAAATAAGTCCTTAATGTTAAATTGATAAATCTGTAGTTAGGCACAGAAGTAAGGAGCATGGTTTTCAAAAGATCTTATTGAACAAAATAGGGGCTGCTGGGCATTTGACACTTTTGAAAATCAGGCTCTTCATTTAGATGTCAAAAGCTCTGATCCTAAAAAATATATGCACATACTTAACTTTACTTACTGAGAATATGTCATTGGTCAAATTGGAGATTTGAATGTCTGAAGATCAATCCTTTTGTATTACACTTAACAGAATCCTTATTTTGAGCTATATTTTGGATTTATTTTATTTTATTGTGGATTTTTTTCATTTATAAAATTCTTGTCAGATGACGATACAGGTGGTAAGGACAATTTTCTTTGTACATTTATTTTTAGTTTGAGTTGTATAGCTCTTGTAAATCTTATAGCTAAACAACTAATAGTCAAACCAAATGAGTGCCATCTCCTGGTCATTCTAGTTCATTGCAATTTGATGGTGATGTGAAAATAAAATTAATGTTTTGGATTATAAGGAATTATTCTTTAGCATTTACAAAAGTGAGAGATGTGTTTCTCTTACATAAACTGGTATTTTAAATTTTTCTTTAATGTTAACTTTGCAGGTGCTAGCAATCTTTAGCCACATATGGTTACAATCTAAGTTATTGTTGGATCAGAGCTATTGGACTGTAGAACTATAAAGGGAATTTCTCTTAGTTGCATGTATCAACTAAAACAGAGACATGCTTGATGTCTAGAAATCATAACAAAAGTCTGGCTTTGGGCCTGATCATGGTCCGATGGAAGTCAGTCTTTTTGCTGTTTATCTTGTAGAACTAAAACTTCTTTCAATCAAACATCAGGGATTTTTCTAGGTGCTTAGAGAACATTGGCAGGATTAAGCATAAGTAAAAAGTAAGCAATTACGAAGACCAATTATATGGGGAATGGTCTTGTTAAATTATATGTTCTGGATGATTATATTTGATCAAAGTTTACAATAATTTTATTGCTTGCAATTGATGGTATTAGCAAGCTTTCAATATTAGCTAACTTTGAAGTTTCATTTGATTTCATTGAGGCTCTAAGACAGGAAACCATGGCTTTTCAAAACAACATTTACATGGATACTTAAACAGGGATGGATTTAAATATGTGCGTAAGTGATTTTCTCAATTATGGCCAAAATGCCAAAATTAGGAAATGTCTACACAGAAGTGCCAAATAAACTATGGGGATGTGATTTCTAACATACAACAGTGTGTGGCACATTTCCTTGACCAATGTAGACTCTACTGATGTACACGAAGTTCCATAGTGTGCTTTAGTGTTTTATTTTAACATTAACGTGAACTAGAGAACTTTTAATGTGCACCAGCAGAGTCTACACAGACTGGTTAATGTGCAATACATCACTGCACTGTAGAAATCACATCTCTGTAGTTAGCATTGACTCACCATGTAGATAAGTCCTCAGCCTACCAAATAATATTGTTCTTACTGGTTACTGTTTTATATTGCTGGTACTTCCATAAATGTAATTAAGAAAATGCCTCACATATGAACTAAAGAGCCCAACTATTTGCAACATAATATTAACATTTATAGGCTTATTTCAAAAGCCCCGCTCCTTGTTAGAATTTGTATTTCTATAGCTATCTAATTGCACTTCCTCTTTTTGGAGTGAATAGCACTTTACCTTTATGAAGCTGATTCCTTTCAACTGCATTCTGGTTCTTACTCTCCAGCACAGTACATTACCTCTCCCCAATCCATGTAATCACTTGTTAAATCTAAAACAGTCATACCAAATCACTTGTTATATCTAAAACAGTCATCTCAAGCAAGATGGAGATTCCTGTGAGAGTACAAGTTCTGAAATGCCAGCCTAAGATCCCTGCTTCATAGCACACAGTGGACTTAATGCTGAAGTGATTTGGGATTTAGTCTAAGATCCCTGCTTCATAGCACACAGTAGACTTGATGCTGAAGTGATTTTGGATTTAGCTGTGCATATACTTCTGTTTACTCTTCTATCCTGGATCTAGCCAAGAACTAATGTGCTTTAATGCCCATAGATTTCAATGGAATCTAAGTACACTCAAACGTAATTCTTAAACTTAATTCATTACTGAATACCCATGATGTTACCCTGGATGAAATTTAAGTATGAACTTTGGTGAACTGGGCCATTAGCCTTGGTTTCCTCATTTGGAAAACAGAAATACTAGTGCTTTCTCCTATTAAGCACTCTGAAATCTCCAAGGCTATGTCTAGACTGCAGGCTTCTTTCGAAAGAGGCTCTTTCGAAAGCATCTTTCGAAAGAGCCTCTTTCAAAAGATCGCGTCTAGACTGCAGGCGGATCTTTCGAAAGAGAAATCCGCTTTTTCGAAAGAGAGCACCCAGCGAGTCTTTACACCCAACCTCTTTACATTGAAGAACGCCTTCTTTCGAAAGAGGAACTTTCGAAAGAAGGTGTTCTTCCTCGTAAATTGAGGTTTACCGCCATCGAAAGAAAAGCCGCGTTCTTTCGAAATAATTTCAAAAGAACGCGGCTTGAGTCTGGACGCAGAGGAAGTTTTTGCGGGAAAAGGCTACTTTTCCCGAAAAAACCCCTGAGTCTGGACACGGCCTATATGAAAGGTGCTTTGGTAAATGCTAAATATTATTCCAGAGCTCTTCATTTTTTGAAAGTTGCACATCTTTCAATGTTTTAACTGTTATCTTTCTCACAGAGATAATTCAAGTACAAATGCTTAAAAATAGTTATTCTCAACCAGAGCTGTGTGTACCCAATAGAGGTAAATCTGCTCATCTATATATTTGTTCTACAACAGGTTATATGAAAAGCCCTAGGAAAGTCAAGCTAAACTCTCATACAGACAATAACTTGTTTATACTGTTCTGAATACTATACACTGAAATGTAAGTACAATAATTATATTATATGGTGAAAATGAGAAAGCAAGCAATTTTTCAATGATAGTGTTCTGTGACACTTTTTTTGGTATTTGTGTGTCTGATTTTGTAAGCAAGTAGTTTAAGTGAAGTATAACTTGGGGGTACACAAGACAAATCAGCCTCCTGAAAGGGGTTAAGTAGTCTGGAAGAGTTGAGAGCCACAGCTTTAAAAGACACTAAAGTTTGGGCTGGTGTGAGTTAGAAAGAACTGAAAGTCAAGCTAAACTCTCATACAGACAATAACTTGTTTATACTGTTCTGAATACTATACACTGAAATGTAAGTACAATAATTATATTATATGGTGAAAATGAGAAAGCAAGCAATTTTTCAATGATAGTGTTCTGTGACACTTTTTTTGGTATTTGTGTGTCTGATTTTATAAGCAAGTAGTTTAAGTGAAGTATAACTTGGGGGTACACAAGACAAATCAGCCTCCTGAAAGGGGTTAAGTAGTCTGGAAGAGTTGAGAGCCACAGCTTTAAAAGACACTAAAGTTTGGGCTGGTGTGAGTTAGAAAGAACTTAGAGCAGCAATTCCCAACCTTTTCCAAATGGGGACCCATTTTGACAATTCAGGAAGACTTGTTGACCCAAGGCAATAAAAACGTGGGGGAGGCGGGAGGGCAGAACCACCTGGGGAGACACGTGGTGACCCTTTTGAAATGTAATGGCGACCCATATTTGGGTCCCGACCCATAGGTTTGGAAACCCTGACTTAGAGGGACAAGAATAACTAAAATGAGAATTGCACACTTGCTAGACTTTTTGATTTTTTTACAATGTAAGTATAAAATTAAGAACAGTTATTTAGAAAAACAGAGTGGTTATTTACTGCAGGTTGGACCTCCCTCATCTGGCAACATCTGTGGTCTGGCAGGACCACACGTGTTCCTGGACCAGAGAGTCCTGGCTGGGAGTCCTAGTGGCAAGAACGCTGGCAGCTCAAAACCCGGCAGGGCTGGGGCTTGCGCCAGAGCCCCGATAGCATAGCAGGGACTGCAGCAGCCCCAGTAGCAGGGCTGGGGACATGGCAGCCACCCTTTCACTGCAGGGTACCTAGTAGGGGTGTGATAGTGTACGCATTTAAACCGATGAGCCTGGGCAAGGCAATTCTCCTGAGCCACAAGAGGGTTCTCTCGTTTGTTGAGGCAGACAGGCATGCTGCCATTTGCACGGTCTTCCACTCCCTGGATTTTTACCAAATGCACCATTATGTTGATAGTGTACCTCAGGGAAAGGGGAATCTAGATGATTGTTTACAGAAGAGCAAGTCCAGAGAGGAAGTCCTTTGTCATGCCAAGTTCACACTGTGCCTTCTGAATCATTTTAAAGACTCCCTAGCTATTTCACATTAGCATCCTAAACAGTGGGAAGTCAAAATTAATTCAAACTCAAAGAATTGAGTTCACTGGGCCCTGATGGACTCTGAGTTCAAGAGCTTTTCTGCTTGTCAGGTGATTCCAGGCAATTTGACACTTATACCTTGTGTTGCAGTCTCAGTCCACAACCACAGCTGGAGTATGACTGAGGTTGCTAGGCCATATCACTGTATGCCCTCTGGTCCAATATGCCAGGCTGCACCAATATCTTCAGATGTGGCAAAAGTGAGTCGTTCTAATTATCATCCCTTAGACAGACTTTTCCAACATCCCCCCTCATTTCTGACTGCTTCTAGTGGTGGATGGTTTTAAGGATAATGTGTACCAGGGTGTTCTTTTTACTTGAGCTCCACCAACCAGGACATTGTTGCTTCCTTAATAGATTGGGGAGTGTGTATGGGATCACTGAAAGTTCAATATCTGTGGTCAGAACAGGAAGCTTTTCTGCTTATAAGTGTCTGAGGGTGTGTCTACACTAGCCTCCTAGTTCGAATTAGGGAGGCTAATGTAGGCATTCAAAATTGCAAACGAAGCCTGGGATTTAAATATCCCGGGTTTGATTTGCATCTTCCCGTCCGGGCGCCATTTTTAAATCCCCTTAGTCTGAAATAACTGCCCGCGGCTACACGCAGCAGTCAAATATTAACTCAAACTAAGTCTTTAGTTCGAGTTAACTGTTACTCCTCCTGGAATGAGGTGTAACAGGTAATTCGAACTAAGGACTTAGTTCGAATTACCGTTTAACTGCCTCATGTAGCCACGGGCAGTTAGTCCGGACTAGTGGCATTTAAAAATGGCAACTGGACGGAAACATGCAAATAAAGCCTGGGATATTTAAATCCCAGGCTTCATTTGCAAGTTCGAATGCCTACATTAGCCTCCCTAATTCGAACTAGGGGGCTAGGGTAGACATACCCTGAGAGCTTTGTGCCATCTAAAGTGCCTTTCAGGATCACGTCAGGGACTCAGTGGTTCTCAGAATCACCAACAATACCACTATGATGTATTATGTGAACAGACAGGGGAGCACACACTAACATGCTGTGTCAGAAGGTAGTCAGACTCCGGCAGTTCTACATTGAGGATAATTTGACTGATCACTTACCTGGCATCCAGAAGTACCCAGTGGAAATTTCTATGTGAATCGTAATGATCCCCGAAGCTCGGTGTCCTGTCATCCATTTTTGTAGTTTGGGGCATCCAGACTTGTTTGCCAGGAGAGAGCACAAGAAATGCTGGCTGCTTTGCTTCCAAGAGGGGTCTCAGTCCGGTTTCCTTTTCAGATGAGCTAGGAATTGATACTCCTGTATGTCTTTTCTCCCATTCCAATTATCACACAAGTAATTCTCAAGCTGAAAATTTACCATTCCAAATTCATCCTCATTGTGCCAGTGTTGCTGAGACAATGTTGATATTCTGACCTCCTGATAGCCTCCCTTATTCCTTCCTCTTCATCCCAGCTTCCTGACTCAACACAGTGAGGGTGGTGCAAGGTTAGATGAGGAGGAGGAACAGTGTTTGAAGTCAGTATGCAAGTCTTGCTCAATACTAGGAAACCTTCCGTTGCAGCAACCTCTCTGGTCTAGAGGACGTGGTTCTTGATATGGGCATTAGCAAGGGGATTTAATCTGAAACTAACGTTTATGCAGGACATCCTTCAGTCTTCTGGTCTTGCACTTGGTTTATTGAGACCCTCCTCGGAGCAGTGTTGGCATTTCAGAAATCAGTATTTTCAAACCTGTAGCAGGGAGCTTCTTGAGTCACTTGTTTCTACCCTCCAGTTAAAGAGCTATTTCTCTTGTAAGATCTTGTAGCTGTCTTAGTGGCTATGAATGGCCTGTCAGTCATCTTTCTCCTTTCTGTGTCAAAAAACTTCCTCCTGGCAGACTTTGATGGTGGAGCCACCTTAAATGCAATTTTCTAAGAACAAACTAATCCTGTGGCCACACCCTAAGTTTTTATCCAAAGTGATTTCCAAGCTTCACTTGAACCAAACTATATATTTACCAGTATTCTTCCCTAAGCCTCATTCCACGCCCCCAGAACAATGTCTTTACACACTGATGGTACGTCTACACTACAGCGCTAATTCGAACTAACTTAGTTCGAATTAGTTAATTCGAACTAAGCTAATTCGAACTAACGCGTCTAGAACTAAAAACTAGTTCGAATTAGCGTTTTGCTAATTTGAACTAGCATGTCCACATTAAGTGGACCCTGAACCGGGCTAAAGGATGGCCGGAAGCAGTGCCGGCTGGGCATCACAGGAGGACTTAGAGCGTGGAGATGCTGTCTCAGGCTAGCCGAGGGCTGCGCTTAAAGGGACCCGACCCCCACCCCGGACAGACAGTTCTCAGGGGTGCCCCGCTTGCAAACCAGTCCTGGCTTAGA